TAATAAACATTGTCATTTGAGTCATTTGACCTTGGAAACCGTCAATTTTGAACAGCCAACGCGCGTTGCGAACGCAATGTCCGATGAATTAACACTAATTCTGCATAATTATAGTTCAACCAATCACAATTCGTCCCAACTTTTTTTGGGAAATTCACGTGACCATACAAGCTTCATGCCACGGATTCGCAGACTATATATGTCATTATATAGTCTGCGCGCAGGCTAACAGAAACCCAGAGACCTAGATACTCAGAGACCCATAGGCCCATCGACCCACACACCCAGAGACCCAGAAACTCAAAAACCTATAAATACAGAGATCTAGAGACCTAGAAACCCAGAGACCCAGAGACCTAGAAACCCAGAGACCTATAGAAACCCAGAGACCCAGGGACCTAGAAACCCAGGGACCTAGAAACCCAGAGACCTAGAAACCCAGAGACCTAGAAACCCAGGGACCTAGAAACCCAGTAACCTAGAAACCCAGAGACCTAGAAACCCAAAGACATAGAAACCCAGAGACATAGAAACCCAGAGACATAGAAACCCAGAGACATAGAAACCCAGAGACCTAGAAACCTCAAGACCTAGAAACCTAAAGACCTAGAAACCTAAAGACCTAGAAACCTAAAGACCTAGAAACCTAAAGACCTAGAAACCTAAAGACCTTAGGATCCGAAAATCTACAATAAACCTTATAGTTTATATTGATGACGTAATTAATATATATTAAATAATAAAGTTGCTTTGTCGATTATGATAATTATTCACGACGTCACCCATGACTTGGTATATAGCCCATCCATCAACCCAAAACGGAGGCATTGTCATCGTGGAATGTTGTAAACAGACACAAGAAAAGCACTAAAAGCCGAAACGCCTTAGAACAAAATCCCAGTGGAAACATCAACGACAGGATTTGCAATTACAAAATCAATTCATTGATCTGAGTGATTGCGAAAGCGACGGCAACGAAAGCAACACAGATATATCAGCCAAACATGGAGACAAGGCAAAGCGGAGACAAACCAAACCAACGCCGAAGCGGGCAAAATAGTCCAAAGATCGAAAGACGCCAGCAATCCAAAGGAAACATACAAGATCGTCAACCATATTTGGACGAACGGAAAGATAAAAGCGAACCCAAAGCGACAAAACAAAGGCAACCTAACATTGTAATTTTAGGGGATTCAATCAGGAATCCCCGACGAATTCAGCAAGGAATTGACCAAAAGGTGTCAATAAAAACCTTTCCTGGGGCTGGTGTTGACGAAATGACCCACTATGTTAAACCGACGCTCCAAAAGAAACCAAAGCATATTATCCTTCACATAGGTACCAATGACCTGCAAACGAAATCGCCAGATGCGTTGATTAAAGCTGTAACAAAACTTGGGGAGGCTATAACGCAAGAAATAAGTTGTACTGAACTTACGCTGTCGGAAGTCATCATAAGAACCGACGATTTACAACTTGCTGATATGGTAAACATTTACAATAATAAATTAGACAATCTATGTACTGAACGCAATTGGGGATTTATTACACATAAAAGTATCACTAAGACTCATTTAAATAGCTATGGTTTGCACTTAAACCAAAGAGGAACAACTGCACTGGCAAGAAACATAAAACAGTTTTTAAAAAATCAATCCTTAAATTGAAATCAAGCCGCGATCAAAAATACTGATAGTAATATAGCATACTGATCGATTAAAGGGATTCAAGATCGCTCATTTAAATGTACGAAGCTTAATCAAGCATATCGATGAACTAAGGCTGTATCTTTATAAACAACAATTTGAAATAATTAGCATTAACGAAACCATGCTTGACCTGTCTGTCTCAA